TTTGCTTGAGAATTGCATGTCTCTTTTGGCTGTTTCTTTCATTTAATAATGATCGAAGTCTGATGTCTCATTTTTAGATAGCTTTGGGTGGGGACTCAATGGCTGTAAAAAGAATGGCAGAAGCTCAGCGGCATCACTTTGTTTTTTGGGACACCCAGCCAGTTCCAAAAATTAGTAAGATGTACATTCATTGAATTTTAGGCGATGTCGCGTGGAAACTTTTCTGTTTCAATTCATTTTTCATCAATTCTTTCTGATTTCGAGAGTGTTTGCTTTTTGCTAACAAATTTGATCATTTAGATGAAACGGTGACTGAGAATACGTTTATTGAGGCATCAATTGACAAGAACGATGTTCGGGCAGAACCGTTTTCTTTACCGTCAGGTTTTAAATGGTGCGATGTGGATATAAATAACGAGAAAGAGCTGACTGAATTGTATACATTACTTTCAGAGAATTATGTAGAAGACAATGACAATATGTTTAGATTCGATTATAGTTCGGACTTTTTACTTTGGTTAGTTTACACAGGTGTTTGAAATGTTTTGATATGGTGCTGTAGAAATGAAATGAAGTTTAACTTTTACTCAGGGCCTTACAACCGCCGGGGTGGTTGAAAAAGTGGCATTGCGGAGTAAGGATAGCGGACACTGGTAAACTAGTTGCATTTATATCTGGCGTACCCTCTTCAATAAGGGTTTATGACAAGGTTTCTTTTTGTTATCTCAAACAGTGAAACACAAATAAGCTTATTCGGACACCTGGGGGTTTAAATACGAATTTTTATTTTCATTCTTATTTAATAATGTAGCTCTCTCAGACGGCGTCCAAATTTACCTGTCGGTGTTTTTTTACAGGAGGTAAAAATGGTTGAAATTAATTTTTTATGCGTTCATAAAAAACTACGATCGAGAAGGGTTGCTCCAGTTTTAATCCGTGAAATTACGCGACGAGTCAATCAAGAAGGGATTTTTCAAGCCGTATTTACTGCTGGAATAGTTCTACCTAAACCAATTGCTACTTGTCGGTATGAACCTAAGTATATCAAACAGACTTTATTTGTGGTTCTTATTGTAAAGTCAAAGTCCTCAACCTTTTTATTTGGTTAGGTTAACGGAGGAACAACTAGTCGTGCATGTAAGGTCACATGTTGGAATACTTTTAAACAGAATTTAATATCATTTGTTTCGATAAAGTCTTGCTTTTAGGTATTGGCACAGGTCTCTTAATCCGAAAAAGCTTATTGAAGTTAAGTTTTCTCATCTCTCTCACAGAATGACTATGCAGAGGACAATGCGCCTTTATAAATTGCCAGATGTATGTTTAATTGTGTTTTCTCTAGTGTGTTGTAGCTGTCGTATATGTCCAATTTTGGAAAGTGGTGATTTGTTTTCTTATTTTATTTATTCATTTTTTATTTTGATCATTCCTCAAGTTACTCTTCGGACATTTGTTTCAGACGACGGAAAATAAAAATTTGGTTGTAATGAATCCTAGTCATGTTACGTCTGCTCATGCTTTGCTGAATGGTTATTTAGCGAAATTTGATTTATGCCCAATTTTCAGCCGTGAAGAATTTGCTCATTTTTTCCTTCCTAGAGAAGATGTTATTTATAGCTATGTAATAACGGTATGTTATCTTCTGTTTTGCCTTCCAATTTTTTCTTCAGTTTCATGTTAACGCTGGTGCTAAGACTTTGAAACGATTTGCACTGTGCGTATCTTGTTGGTTGTTGGATAGCACCTTCTATTTTGCTCAGCTGGTGTATTTAATCGTTCATATTTGGATTTAGAACAATGCTGGGAAAGTCACAGATTTAATTAGCTTTTATTCTTTGCCGTCCACAGTCATGCACCATCCACATTATAAACGCATAAAAGCTGCTTATTCTTTTTACAATGTGGCTACGTCTATAAAGCTCAAACAGCTCATGTATGATGGCCTGATACTTGCCAATAAGGTTTGCTTTGATATTTTCGATCACTGCTTCATATTACAACGTTGAAAGCGTACTGATTATGATTGGTTTTAGAGGCATGACCACCATGTGCGATTGGCATCATTATATTTTTTATCTTTCAGGCTGGTTTTGATGTATTCAATGCACTTGATTTAATGGACAACTCGGAATTTTTGGAAGATTTGAAATTTGGGATTGGAGATGGCAACCTGCAGTATTACCTCTATAACTGGAAATGTCCGGATATGGTGCCAGGGAAAGTTGGATTAGTCCTACAATAGCTTCCTATCGGCTTTACGGTGTTTTCGCAGCCTTAATAAGATTACGGTTTCGTCTTGTTTTCGCAGAACCTTCTAGTCAATCCTTAAATGGTTGATTACTTAAAGATGAATTTAAATCATGTAAGCGATGGATGTAGTAACAGAACTGTAACAGTTCCTTGAAAAACCTGTGTCGTTTACAGCATTTGATGGGTAGAAGAGTTTTGCATACTTACTTATTCCCACTGATCTGGGAAAATGGCAAGCGAATTTAGATGACGGTTTTCGGTAAAATGTATTTTGGAGTTGGATATAGATTTTTCTTTATCTCGTTGTTCCTTGTTTTTGTTCCTCTTTATTTCGTTGGAATTTTAAACCCTTGTTTCTCTGCTTAAATTTCTTCTCAACTTTACCCATACATATTCTGTTACAGTGATGTTTTTAAAAAATTTTGTTTTTGCATAAGTTAGATCCTATGGTAGCTTTGAAATTTCGAAATCTTAAACCATTTTCTAGGCGTCTTTCAAGCAAAGCGTTTCCAGTGAATGGCACTACAAATTTTTTTTAATTGCATTAGTAACTTCTTGGCAATTAATAGTAGTCTTAACTACGAATTCACACTGCCTCTGAGGCTCGATTCCCTTCTATTAACAGAATATTTCAAAAGCTGTGAAGCAAATGTGCTCAAAAGTACTTTGTTAGGTTATTTATGTTCATCGCTTGCTAAGCACTCCTATTATCTAATTGTGATGCTCTGTAGGTTTAATGGACATTAATTCGAGAAAATTTGTTGCATTGTAAAACTTAAAATAATGATTTGTTGTATACTTAAAAAAACTATAACTTGTTTAAAGAAGCTAGTTTACCGGAGAGTCAGTTTATTTGGTTCCATTGCAAGCGCTGATTAAAAAATAAGCGTGGGCAAAGAAGTGTTCGACTGTCCACAAGGCAGAGGGTAGTAAAAGGATAGTCATCTGCAAATTTAAAACTTTGGACAGCTTCAGTTTTGCATCCGAAAAGTTACGTAAGTGTGAAGACTAGCTGAAGCGAGCTGCTGCAGAATGCTACTGACAATGATTTTTGTTGGTATTATGGCGGAGCTTTCCTTTGAAAGTGTGTGAGCAAACTACTCTTCTTTTGCAACAAGAAACATGGATTAATGATGTGCATTAATTTTAAGTTGTCCAAAAGGTAGATGTTTTTAGTTGGTGAAAACATAGTAAGATGTTCCGATGGGGAGTGATCTTGTCGGCATGTGCCGCTAGAATAACTTCCTCCGTTTGCATTATAGTAGGCGTTCGGTGGTGCTGCACGGCAATAAAAATTGATACTACCCGGGTCTACACTGCGAAACCAACAATTCGGACGGGCGTTGTGATTGCGAGGTACTCGTCACCGCAGACTGTCAGACCTGATGATAGTTTCTGACGAGACAGTGAGCGACAGATTTGTCAAGTGGAACTTCCACACAAAATTTTGCGGATTTACAGGCAATAAGAGCAACGTTCACCAGATGAGTGCTCAAAAATAGGTTTTTTGCATTTGGTGCATGGCGAACGGAGAAAGAGAAATTAAATCAGAAAATTCATTTACAGAAAAATGCGTTAAGTACAAGAGAGAAAGTTCTACTCCAGCCAGGCGTGTAAAAGAGCACTAAAAAATCATTTGCAATTGGTTGAAAGATTTACATTCCCTTGACTGTAATCATTTTCGTCGTTGCTGTTCAAATCATTTGTGCCCCGTAAGCATGTCACAATTTTTCTACTTCTTCCTTCCTATTGTTGTGCTAGTAAATCAACAAAAGTCAAGAACTGTATTTGTAGGATCGCATTTGATAGTAGGGTGAAATTGAAGTGGTCGGGTGGGGGGGGGGTCATTATATGCCCCCTTATCTAAATAAACAGATGAAGTCCTTAAATAAATCGGTTGCGAGCCAAGGTTACAAAACAGTAGAACTAGCGCTTGCCATGTCGTATGTAATTTCAATTTTCAAATACTGAAGAAGAGAAGTGACTGATCGTGGCAGATTATCACTGCTAAATAACGCTGGGGATCATTAACAACGATGTTGCATTTGTCGCCACAATGTAGGGAACAAGGATTACAGAGCTCTGTGCCCTAGATAATGGTCTGTAAACTTCTTTTAAGAAAAAACTAAATAAAGGGATAAAAATATGAAGTCAAATGCGGTTTTCAGAGTTTCAAAGTAAGAAGCAACATTCCGTTTTATCACGTAGTAATTTCAACTTTTTTCTTTTTTTTTGAAACCATCCCCAACATTTGTACATCCCATTAACTGTTATATGTTTGCTATCTCCGCGTCGTGAGCTTTTATCCTAAAAATAAAAAGACTTTACCCTTTCGTTAAAGAAAATTTAACAGAGTAAAGTCGAAAGAAACTGTGACTGACTAAAATTTACTATTATATAATGAGGCCTAAAAGCCTTTGCAATTAGCCAAGAAAGTTTAATTTCCTGACCAATTAGACCTTGACACAACAGCAAATTAGGGATTTTTTTTTTGGAGACTGAGAAACTTTGAACTGAACCTTCTTTCTCAAGTAAATTCACGTTTTCTCTGAAGAGTCCTGAGGAACAATTGAGAGTTAGGTCAGTGAAGTGACTTTGATCTAAAGTAAGAAGAAAAAGAGGGAGATAATGGATGACGAAGCCAGTTAAAGAATACGGGTGTATTATTCATGCGTCCATTAGATAGCTTTAAAAACTCTAAAGCATAGCAGCGTAAACAGGGAAGAAAATCTGGGAAGGAAGACGAACTACCAAATTTGAATCAAAAAAATGCACCAGTGCTAACAAGAGAGAAAGGAGCGTAGGCTTAATCTAGACACGTTTGTCAGAGAACCGATAGGTTGAGGAAAAAAAGAAGATGTGTAAAAAATTGGGTGGGACAAAAATATTTAAAACTTCTGGAAAGTCATGACTTCTTGTCTTAGATAAGCTTGTAAATAGAAGGGGAATTGGCGAGAAGTAAAAAAGTAGAGGGATAGACTGCAAATCAGTGGCTCCTGGGCTTTCTAGAATAAGTGTAGTGTGGAACTTCCATAATTTTACGGCAACTGTAAAAAAAAAAAAGAGACGTTTCCGGAACATTTTAAGTATATCATCGAAGAAGAACTCAGATAATAGGTATGGTACTTAATAGTTCCCAATTATGTATGTGGAAGATAAAAAAGAATGTTTTTCTCCAAATACCGGTTTTAATCTTAACCTCTTCATGCAGCTCCTTCCAAAGAATCCAGCCAGCGAAATACTTGTGCAGTTCCGCAGTTGCTTTTTCGCTGCCCAAACTTTTTTTTTTTTTCCAAAAAGTGGCTCGTTCTCATCATGTTTCATTAGCTACAAATGGAAAAACAACAGAAACAACAGGTAAACTAAAAGCATAGCATAAGATCATGAAAAATTAAAAATCTAACTACATTCACAGTCATGAAGTAAATCACAAAAATAAGTTTATATTTCTAAAAAACTAGTACAAATCTACTTATTAAGTGATTTTGATACTGAAGGTGGTACTTTAAGAAAAACCCAGAAAAATACAAGAGGCTTAGGAGTTACACTTTCGCTGTCCAAATTGTGATGGTTTAAGGCGAGACATCACTTTCTTGAGCACTCACATGAACAAAAGTATCGCCTGCTTACTCCAATACGTATTGACCAACCACCGAGATACTTGGAGACACGCATCTTGCCATCCGCAGGTTTCATTATGAGAACTGGTAAAGGGAAACCGAAAAGTAAATGAGTTTTATTTGTGGGTATATGTCTGCAGGTCGACTCGGTTTAAATTACTCGGCGCAAAAAATTAATACGTACAAAATTCGTTCGTTGCTGTTGGCGCAGTTCCAAAACGCTTTTAGTTAATCTGCTGCTATTTGGTGAAGCGAATTAATGCTTTTTTAGTAGAACAAGGACAGATAAGTGCTTTTAGGAAGATTCAGAGGGATTTTTTGTTTAATGGCGCTACACGCAATGCTCCCGCAGAATGGACAGATTGTATATTAAATGATGTTTGAAAGAATATGCTTTACAAATGAAATGAGCCAGTGAATCCCGCATCATTTAGCTGGAAAACTTGAATATTTTTACTTTTGGATAATGTGAAGGAACAGCCAGATGAACAGTCAGATAGCATTTTTTTTCCGGTGTACCGGCTTAATTTCAACCAGAGCAGCCTCCTAATTCTTTTTATTACCGTCAATAAACATCAGTGAGAATTTTCCTTTGAAAGCGCATTACGTGTGGTGCAGTAAAATTAGAACAATGTATGTTCGGCTAGCAGACTGCTAGTTTTTTAGAAAGTTTAATTATAACATTGAAAATTGGAATACAGTTTTATCAGCAACTTCAAAACTTGAGCACTGAAAAACGCTTCATATGTATAATATTTTGTTTTCCGTCTAACTGAAATACAAGTCTTGCTTATCCGTGTTAAGCTTGAAAAGTTATTAGGGATAAAGTTTAGGTACTGTGATTTTATTGACGCTTCAAACGTTTTTCCTTTGACCTAAACTGGTGCATGTTTAATAATTCGAATTTATATGGAGTATTGTGAAATGAAGGATTCTGAAGTTTTACTGAATTGTCCACATTTGTTTAGATGATTATACATCTTGGTGGCAGAGATGACGACGAATGGGGTCTTTTCGGTCTTTCTGCCCACTATCTCAGTAGTTGGGAATACCTGTTGTACTTGAGTAGTACCGATTAATGTACTCTTCTTTTTCAGGCGTATTTGTTTATTCGCTTATTTTTTTCTCTTATGGCTGTACTTTTGGAAACAACACTTGGAGATATTGTTATCGATCTTTTTGTCAAGGAAAGACCTAGATGTATGATTGCAGATTTTTATTTTTACTTTTTTTCTTCCGCATTATCCGTCTTTTATTTCGTTTTAAAATTTTTCCATTTTTATGGGTCAGGGTTCTACTGTTGTAGGTTGTTTAAATTTCTTGAAGTTATGCCGAATGAAGTACTACAATTTATGTTCGTTCCATGCCATTGAGGTAGGTTTTCGTTTTTCTTCCTTCTAAATCTGCAGATTTGTATGCAGCCCTGAAACTTATTTTAGTATTTTCATCCTGCATATAGTTTGTTGTGTGCTTGTGTGTTACAGCTATATTAAGATGTATAGTTTCTAACAGAAACACGTATTTTCAAGTTTTTCTTGAAACAAATACTTTCAATTTTTACCTCTTTTCAACTTTATTTTGGCTTGCCTTGCCGAATTCTTTAATAATTTGACACTGTAACAAAGTTTTACATTTAAAAATTTTCTCAATCATTTCGTTTTTGTCATCAACATCTCTTTGGAAACCTTACACCATTTGAAAGCTTTCAAAATTAAGTTTTTTGAGGATCCATTTTTTTAGAAGCAGGTTCAATTTTGTTTCTTATTTTTTAGCAGAATTACATTGCGCAAACTGGAGATCCAACTGGAACTGGTAACGGAGGTGAATCAATGTTTATGTGAGTTTTTTTTTGTAAAATTGAAACGTTTGGAGGTTTGGTCTTCGAATTCTTTTACTGTTAAGTTACTTATTTGCTGTCCTTTCAACTGCTCTTCATTTGCATGTTTCATTGTTATTGCTTTTGAAATGGTTAGTAATTTATGTGTAGCTAGTAAAAACTAATAATCGCCAGAAAATTTCAATGTTGAGATAATTTTTCAGATGTTAATTGTTTGTAGGTTTTTGTATGGAGAACAGGGTCGTTACTTTGAACCTGAAATGATACCTAAGTTGAGGCATTCTCGAAGAGGACTTGTTTCTTTTGTCAACAATGGCTCAAATATGCTTGGCAGCCAGTTTTTTATAACTTTAGGTTTAGACGTTTTTTTGTATTTATGCGTATATCGCTCTTCCAACAAGCATTTAACTCAGCGTAGTAATCTTTTTATTTTCATTTTTCAGCTAGTAGTAAAGGTAGATCAAATTCTTTTCTCTTCTTTTTTTTCTTTTTTTATTTGTTTTGTCTGAGCCTAATCGACCTTATTTTTCTCAAAGGCTTTGTTTTAGCTGATGATCTGGACTATTTGGATGACAAGCATTGTATATTTGGCCAAGTAACGGAAGGTGATGATACATTAGAAAGATTAAATGAACAACTTTGTGATGGAGAGAACCATCCTTATCGCGATATCAGGTTTGTTACAGCAGTCATGGTTTTTGGTGTATTCCTCGTTAAATTCTCGCTACATTTTACCAGTTTTTGAGATGTCTTCTTCAATTTTTAGGTAGGCCTTTTATCTTTTAAAATATTGATTCGATAACGGTCACTTTCGTTTATTACACGGCCATATCAATTTTCAAATTGTTCCCGTAGTTTTCCATTTTTTTCTTCAACTCGTGAAACTTTTAATTTCACAGCTGCTTCTCCTATTGAGTCAAAAAGTAGGATACGCTCACTTGATATTATGTGATAATTATTTTAAGAATAGCTCACACGATAATTCTTGATGATCCATTTGAGGACCCGAAACGATTAGAGTTTCCTAGTCGGTCTCCATCACCTACATTTGAGCGCCTTGTTGATGTAAGGATTACTTTGAAAAGTTTTATTGCAAACTGTCAGAGTTGCTTTTTTTTTGATCAAAGTTGTCATCATATGTTTATCTTTTCAAATTACCTACGGCGTCTATGACGTACAGAAACATTAGAGGGTCGCTTTGTGCTTCTCTCATGCGGATTTTTTTGCAGTCATCAAAAATTGCCCTCGATGAAGCACTTGATGAGTACGAAGGTATGGCTGAGGCAGAAATTCGAAAAGAGATCGAAGCAAAGGACATGGCGGCGCAAGCTCAAATCTTGGAGATGGTATCTTATCAGAAACTGTTGCAACGCAATACTTCATAAATTTTTACGACTAGGCTGTTTTTGAAGGTTTTATATACCTTTTCGCCTTAGTGAAGTCTAAGCCTGATCAATTCTTTCCTTTTAAAGATCAGCTTTGAGCACTTTCTTCATTATACTGTAGGTCGGCGACTTGAGATATGCCGATGAAAAACCCCCAGACAATGTCCTATTCGTGTGCAAACTTAATCCTGTTACAACAGACGAGGTAAATAGTATTTTGTTTATATTACTCTGAAGATGAAATTACGGAAATTTTTACAATTTTGTTGCAGTAGAGGTGTTTCCACACTATTTTCTCAGGTCACACGAGGAAAAACTTTTGTCGTAGCATTATGAACATAGGAGAACTTTGGAGTTTCTTGATGCAGGTTGTCACCAATGGTAATTAATTTTTCACTGTTCCATAGTCTTTTAGGATCTGGAAATAATCTTTTCTCGTTTCGGGAAAATTAACTGCTGTGAAATAATTCGTGATAGACGTACTGGTGCATCTTTGCAATATGCATTTATTGAGTTTGATGATGTAAGTTTTCCTATGGTTAGTCGTTTTTCACGTTTTCGCTAATGTTATTGTTGCTGATACTGTTGGCTCTTGTGCTACTAAAAGACCAATTTCCAGGCAAAGAGTTGCGAAAATGCGTATTTCAAGATGGATAATGTTCTTATAGATGATAGACGAATCCACGTTGACTTCTCACAGTCAGTAGCTAAGAATTACAAGTGGGAAAGAGGTTAGTTTAAGTTTCTTTTAATAGCATGATTCTAAGGTCTAGAACTGACATATTGTTGAAAGGAAGTAATAAACTTCTTTTTGTGTTTTACTGATTCTGGATAATTAACTGCTTTTGGACGTTATTTTCTTAGCTGTTTTCATTTTTTTTTTCCTGATTGAGCAAAAGGAGAAAATTTTACGGATGGATAACAGTCAGTCAACAGTCGTCAGTTTTGGTATTGGATAAACAACGAAAATAGAGAATAATTGTAAGATATTTCTGTGGTAGATCAGTGTATTACTGAATGCATTGTTTTCAGTGTCAGAGTGCTTTCTTTACTGCTTATTTCAGTTGCTGTTGTTCATTGAGCTTATTTGGATGTTACTGTTCAGATTTAATCTTAGATGTAGGATAAGGGAGTGTTGTTGTCGTTGGTCCATGACTGTATTTTTATTGCAAGCATTGTTTTTATTTTTTATTTTTGTTTATTGTTTCAGTTGTTGACATTTTTGTTGTTGCTGTTTTTTGTTACTGCCACTACTGCAGCAATTCTACAATCATAATGAATTTATTAGTATTTTTAAAATGTTTTTTTTAAATTGAACACTTACCTACAAACAAGCTCTACTTGTCATTTTTAAATTTGGAGAATTGTAAAAAGTGAACTACATTTCAACAATTTCAGGTAGAAAGAAGAGTGATGAAAACCATCAAAAAGAGGTAGTTTGGTTGTTGCTTTTTATTTTCCTAATTGAACATAAGGATTTTTGAGGTTTCTTAAGTAACTTACTACTTTATGTGGTGAATTTCTGCTTTACTGGTAAACAGTGTAGTGGAGTGACATTTAAAAAATATGCTGCCTAGGTACGTCATGAGAAAGAGAGTTTCAAGAACAAAAGGAATGGTACTAACGACAAGGAACATTCTCCTCGGAAAGAAAGGTCAGCTTTATCTTCGTTTACTATTCGTCTTTCTTCTTGAAAATTATGCCTTAAGGCAAACTAGGCGTTCAAATTCCAGGTTATCAAGAAGACATCTTGACGAAAGGCATGAAAGTAAGCATCATCGTCATTCCCGTAGCAGAAGTCGCCATCGACACCATCACAAACGGCGATGACTGTTAAGTCATACACTGAAATGTGCCATTGATCTCTTTTGGCAAGTAATGCTGTTATTCACTGTTTCCGTTGGGATATACTTTCAAGTACTATTAATTGTTGAGCTTGGGGACGATGTTGCTTGAGCTTGTTTGCTGATCAAGATGGAACCATTATTTAGAACTGTGGAGTCCCGCAATCAAGCTGACTAAAATTTGCATTTAGTCAGGTCGTGAGGGCTGTGGTCATAATTCATTTGATAAGCAAAATTGGTCGACCGCTGCCTGGCCTCGCTCCTCCATGCACCATCCTGGTTCGAACTGTCTTTAATGCCGTCTCCGTTTTCGGACCTAAAACCACGCGACTTTACTCCGCTTTTATTTGCAACTCTTAGAACTTACTTTTATCTCTTGCTGTAACTCCACTCATTTGAAAGAGTTGCCCCCCATACAGTTGCCATATTGGTTTGTAGTAATAGATCCTATTATCTGTATAAATCTTGACATGAAAATGGCGCGTACAGCAGAAATACATTTAAACTTTGAGAGGAACGAGCAAACTGTGAGTCGAAGAGAATACAGGAAGCCGAGTAAACAAGTAGAACATTTAACCACGAGAAACTTTTCCTTTTTACGACCTACTGCGCGACTGGTGAATTGGCGTTATTCATGGGAAGTTGCATGTGGTGGACAAATGCGCGTCGCGCGCGGCTCCCTACGTAACAGGTCAGCTCAACTAATGACGGTCACGAGATACTCCTACTTTTCTATTACGTGTTGTGTGCTTAAAGAGCCATCGGTACTGAGTCTCCAGCTTGCTTTGAGACGCTTCTATCCCGCAAATGAACTATTTCAAACCACACAGCTCAATGACCCGAGTAGCCCTTTTTACATGGCTGGGAACAGCACTTTCTGTTCGCCGAAACGAGCGCCTGAACACTACTGAAAACTGCCTTTTACGGGTCTCACTTCTGAAAATGAAAATTGATTTCTTACTTTGGTTTGATCGTGAGTAGCATAACATCGCTTGTGGTGCGGGAGAGATTACGTCATTATTTATTTTTATTACAGAATATCGTTCATTCAAAAAAGAGGTACACCTTCCAACGATGCCAGTGTAAAGAAAGCACATGTTGCTAACGAAAGTGAAAGAAGTAGTTCTGAGCACTTGTCATGTCGCGCCTCTTTTAATATTCGGAGAGTTCCGCAAGGAGATCATTGAAGGCACACAAGGAGTTTAGGTCAGCATCTAGTGTTGTACACTATTCAACGGCATAGAAATAACATACGCAGGTTGGATATGAAAGCGAGTTTCGAAAGTGGCCTTCAGTTTTAAACTGCACTTACTGTCTTTCGAGAGGGGATGTTCACTCCATAATACCTCACTGTTGTAAAGACAATCTAAAGCAGTTACAGAAGCAGATTAGAACGTGCTTAAATCCATCTATTGTTAGCCATTAAAAGAAGAAAGCAGTAAATAAAAATTTATACATAAAGACTGACAAACCTTTACAATGCAGATTTTTTGAATGAGTCCTAATGACTATGATAGCACTAAACATGTACGCAGTACCGATCACACCAAAACTATCACACTCCCGAACACTGTCAGTTATGCCACTGGTCATCTTGGAAAGAACTTTTTCATACAAGACAGAGTAATACTGAAAAGAAACTCAGCAACTACTGGAGAGTTGATAGGCAAAACGCACTGGCTATTTAATAAGTTATTGGTCTTTGCAGAAGATACCTTATGATAAAAGAAACGTCCTTGGAAATCTCCCCAAAGTGGGTACCGATCTAATGACCGATTAAACTGAATAGAAGTACTGTCATTTTGCGAGAAGACAATGAAGCGGTTGGGATTTTCTCGCCATATCTTTAAAACTTGAATATAAATTAGAAAACGGTACTAGTAGCTGAGAATCATGCGAGCAAAGTAGTGCTGTGATTTATGACAGTACTAAATTTTTCCCATGGAAACTTAATTCTTTTACTTTTCTCGAACAACTGATGGAGGATGCACCTGATAACCGTATTCTATTTCCCGGGCGCTCAGAACATCAAGTTCGTCATAAGTTTGAAAAATTGATTCTGATGAGATTTCCTGGAACTTGCCAAATTGTTTTGATAGTGCAACTTTTTCTGTTAAAACGAAATGAATAGGCTTTCGAAATCGCGACCAGTCTAAGGCTGAAAAGTACAAGAACCTTACTGAACAAAATTTAGAGTTGTGCCAAGCTGCACGAAATCCAACCTGTGAGTTTGCTAGAAAAATGTCTCGGCCAAATGATTACGACTGCATTTAATGTCTCGATCTTATCAAAGACTTGAAGCCACAAGAGGAGACGACTGTCAGGTTTGTTACTGGTTATGACAGCAGTAAATCCTTCTGCAGGAGCTATTCTTGACAGAAAAAGCGGAGGAGGTAACTACAACAAGAAATGAAACCTATGTTATAAGCGAATGGACTCTGCTACTTGAATGTGAGAACTCTTTACTGTCGTATCTGACAGCATGCGTAGCGGAAGAGGTGAAGGGTGCTATATAAAAAGAGCAAATAACGAATGAAAAAAATTACCGTCCCATCGTTCCACTCAGGTTGGAATGTTATTGAATTAGGGATCAAGCGACCACGCAAAATTTTAAGAGTTGTCAACGCAATTTTTTTAAGCGATACAAAATACTTCTTATAAATAAGCTGGCCGCGCTTTCTCATTTCTTCTAGTCGTACCGAGCCAATACCTTTCAAGATTTTATAAATTTCTCTGAGAGTCCCAAAATGAAAACTGAATGAAAGCCTATAAAACCAAACGTTATTTATCTTAGCTGGAAGTTCTCAATGAGATTCTATAAACTGTCTTGTGGTAAAATGATCACCTGTCCCACTCTATAACATCTCCAAATGGTAAAGCAATTTTGTCGCAAACGAAAACTGGGATTGTGCCGAGACGCAGTGTATTTGTTAACGCCCATTCAAATCCTGTAGCTTTCTCAAACAACATCAAGAACTGGCTACTCTACAAAGGGACGATCACGACCATTAGCAATGATAGGGAAAAGCTTCAAAAAACGAGAAACCTTGAGAGTGTTAATTAACTGATAGGGACGGTCGTTTGAGTTGCAAAGTGAACCTCCAGCATTTCTGCAGTCATCTAGAATTAGAACATCATCTTTGGAACCATAATGCTCTTTAACGACTTCTTTACTTTCAGCTGGCAGCCCCTTCAGCAACATAACCAGAAACCAAGATTTTCCTATATATGGACCTTCACTCTCAAGAAGCATTCCATGATACCAGAATGGTATAGCCACATCATAAGTGCGACGAAATGATGTGTCAAAAGTCTGCGACCTGAATAAAGAATTAAAAACAAAAGCAAACTTAGGTGGTAACCAATTTTTTTACATACAATTTGAAGACTATAAAAAATATTACCGTGCTACAACAGCCTTTCCAGCAGGAATCTGCGTACCTACAAATACAAAGAGCAAAGGCATGGGGCTGAGATTCCTAAAAAATTAATTACTACATCTGGCTCACTGAAAATTCAGGAAGAGACTCAAACCTGTATGATGCAGTTATAGCGTGGTGAAGCGCCATTGGGTACGGAAACCTCATTAAATTCAACGTGTCAAAACCTGGTATAATAAGACAGGCATCCTCTCGACGAGCAACTGAATATGTACTGCTTTTAACAATTTGTCTAAGTTCCAGAAATTCTCTTGATGGATCTGGAGTAATTTTTCTTCCATGCTGAAATTATTTAAGTGCCTATTAGCCAACAAGTCTTTCGAATAATATGCTTTTCATTACTGTTAGTACAGGTACTTCTGCTTGTACTTCTTCAAAACTTGAGTAAAAAAAAAAAAGAAACATTTTTGGGGATTGGAACTGATGGGTAAACACAACAACAAACTGGAAAATTTACCTCGTTAATAATATCGACCAGCGGTTCCACAAATACACTTAACCGATTGTCAAAAATGGAACATGGTAAAAGGTCTATGCACGTATCAATCGTGCATGCTGAATATGACGAAGAATCATTTAAAGAATCTTTGAAACGAAAGATTACCACATTTTGTTGTCCTTGTTCATCTCCTCCCTCATGAATGGCAAAATACAGTAAAGATACCACCAAAATAACAAGTGAGGCCACTGACACCTTTCGTTTTGCATTCCTCATTCTACCCCATAATTTAAGTAGTTAATCTGGAATTGAGCATGTAGAAATACTTGAGTTATAATGTAAAGGACACATAGCAGTTGTGAAAAAAAAAAATTTTCAATGTTGCAAGAATATCATACATCGTATACATGGCGAAAGATCTAGTCAACTTCATTCACCCTTTCTCTTATCAAAAACTTATTATAACCTTTCAAAAATCCTATGCATTTTTGATTCTCAACAGAGTAGGCAAAGTTTTTCCGTAAACTACCCTCTAGTTTTTGCGTCAACTGAAGTGTAAATTGCTGCATAGTGATGAAAAAAGCTTTCTTTTATCACAGCAGCACTAAAAGCTCATCATTTAAGCAACAAATAATAAAAAAACAAAACTATGAAGACTTTCCAGCGGCGAGCAAAAAAAAAGATTCATCATCAATGGATATCAACAAAATATCAATAGAAAAAAAAAAAAAAGAACGACTGCGGCGGGAAGTAACAGATTTGATCTACAAGCGTTTCACGGTTTCGCGTAATCAGGAATGCGCACGATACATTTACCAATTTCAGACCGCAACTTCAGTTCTGTTTTTGATTTTTTTTTACTCTATTTGAAAAAAGAAAAGCTGGACTCAAATGAAAATAAAATCATTCTACTGATCCTGGCAGTACAGTCTGTTTCTATCTCCATTTTTTTCGATCAAAAATGCTTTTCTTCTCTGCCCCTCCTGGCAGTAGTCCATGGTGCATTTCAGTTACCTCCAACTACTGCAATCGGAAAGAATTACTTATACACAGATGTGCAGTGCATAATACGCCATATACCAATTCTTTGGCCGGATACCATGAGGAAACAATCAGAGGAAAATCTCCGACGAGCCACACTTTCCGGTCTGTTAATTTAACATTTCGGCATTAAAATCAGTGCAGCTTCCAAAACTTCACATTTAAAGTCAGGTTTCTTTTTTATAATGAATTCAGAACCTGTGCCTCTCGATTTCTTTTTTTTTTTTTTTTTTTTTTTT